CTCAGCGAGCTGGCCGAGCTGGAGCTGCGGCGGCGCCGCTGCGACCGGGCCCTGCAAGGTGAGCGCCGCCACGCGCACGGCGGGACAGGGCTGCGCGCTTGGGCACGGGGGCTGCGCTGCGGGGGCTCCGCGTCGCGTTTGCAGGGAGATGGGCAGTGCATGCATTGCAGTGGGGCTGCGTGTGCGGTGCAGGGGTGGTCTGGTGCAGCATGTGCACTGTGTTGCATGCATGTGCAGTGCGTGCACTGTAGCAGTTGCTGATGCAGTGTGCAGATTGGCAGCACTATGCAGTGCTCATGCAGCTGCAGTGCAGTGTGTGGAATGGTAGGGCAGTGCCCTGCATGTGCAGGAGCAGGGCTGTGCAGTGCATGCAGTGGAGGGACCGTGCAATGCACGTGTAGCAGTAGGACAGTGCATGCAGGGTCATACACACGTTGCAGTAGGACTGTGCGGTGCAGTGCTGCAGGGCTGTGCAGTGGTGTGGAGCTGTTGCAGGGCTGTGCAGTGCAGAGATGCACGGCGTGCAGTGGTGATGTGGGGCCGTGCAGTGCAGTGCAGTGCAGTGCGTGCCGCGGGGCAGGCGCTGGGCTCTGCGCACAGCGGCAGTGCCCGAGGCGCCGCGCGCAGCCTGTGGCTCCGGGGCTCCGCTCCAGCGCTGGCTCCAGCAGGCGCCGGGATTCCCTCCGCTCCGCTCGGCTTCCCCAGGGAATCCCGGCCGGAGGGCGGGGGCGCTGGCGCTGCCCCAGGCCCGGCCGGGCGCTGCGGGGCCGGCGCAGGGGGGTGACTCATCGGGATGTCACCGCGGCTGCAGCCCCAGCAGCACCCTCAGCCCCAAGGGAGCCCTGCAGCCCTGGGCACACAGCACCCGGGGGAGCCCTGCAGCCCCAGGCATGCAGCACCCTGAGCCCCCAGCACCCAGGGGAGCCCTGCAGCCCCAGGCATGCAGCACCCTGAGCCCCCAGCACCCAGGGGAGCCCTGCAGCCCTGGACACACAGCACCCCATGCCCCTAGTACCCAGGGGAGCCCTGCAACCCCAAGCATGCAGCACCCTGAGCCCCTAGCAGCTATGGGTACCCTGCAGCACCCGGCAGCACATGCACGCTCCGCTGCCCTCCCTCAGCACCCATGGGTGCTCTGCAGCCCTAGCCATGAAGCGCTCTGTTCCTTGAGCAGCTATGGGTACCCTGCAGCACCCGGCAGCACATGCACGCTCCGCTGCCCTCCCTCAGCACCCATGGGTGCTCTGCAGCCCCGTGCACGGTGCGGGGCTGTGGGGAGGGCGCCGCGCTCACCCGCGTCTCCGGCAGGCGAGGACGGGGCCGAGGAGCTGCTGGCCTTCAACCTGCAGAGCCTGGCGACGGTGGCGGCCGCCTGGTCGCTGGTGGAGGCGGCCGGGCGCGAGGGCAGCCCGCGGGCGCGGAGCCCCCTGCACGCGGCGGCGCCG